AAAAAAAATAAACATTACAAAATTCTCACGGCGCTTCTGTTCTGAACGCTGTAAACAGGTGTCCTCCTGTGGTTTACTCAGTGCCACATCTTCACACTCTTAATGCTGATTGTTGGTGATGTCACTATTGAAGACACCCCAAGCACAACAGTGAATTGCTCTCTACAATTTCTAAGTGAGGGAAGGGTCTGATGTGACTTACAAAGATAATGTGTGTGTAAGATAAGCATGGGTCAGGCATGAGCCGGTGTTGTTGGCTGCAAGTTCAGTTAACTAATCCGCAGCATATACTGAGCGCAGCGCCTGTACACAGAGACCCACAGAAAGCTGTGTGTGCATTTGTTGATGAGCATGTGGTGATGTCTGACATCTCAAGCACAGCTACCACAAATAGCAAGAATTGACTGTGTTTTCTTTTTTCTCCAACTGGACATGGGAGTCATTTTAATGCGCTGAGGGGAAAAAAGAGTGAACGTCCAGAAACAAGGTTGTCATCCCATTCTAACATTCCTCTCATCCTTCTCCTGGTTGTAACCTTAGCTATGTGGCTATCCTGGCGTTTGTGTTTGTTTTATAGAAGGTGGTTTGTTAATATTTGAAAGTCTTTTAAACAATTTTTTAAATGTATAAGTACTTATTTTTTCCCAGATTTATATGCATAGGGAATCACCCCTTCCCCAACCTCTTATCTTCCTCTGTCCTTATATTCTATTGTCCATAAGTTGTTACAATGGCAAGTCAGTCACTTCACTGTGACAGGGTTAACTTTCTGTAAATGTATCATGACAATACAAATCAAGGGACAAGGAAGAAAATAGAGTAATGTAATAAAAGTATAATTAAATATAGTCATGGGAATTCTATTATTTTTTAAAGATTTGTTTGTTATTTAAAGTCAGACGTACAGAGAGGAGGAGAGACAGAGAGAAAAATCTTCCATATGATAATTCACTCTCCAAGGCCCTGCATGGCCGGAGCTGAAGCCAGGAGCCAGGAGTCTTTTCCGGGTCTCCCTCGCAGGTGCAGGGTCTCAAGGCTTTGGGCCGTCCTCAACTGCTTTCCCAGGCCACAAGCAAGAAGCTGGATCGAAAGCCGGGCTCCTGAGATTAGAACTAGTGCCCATATAGGATCCTGGTGCATGCAGGGCAAGGACTTTAGCTGCTAGGCTACCATGCTGGGGAATTCTATTATTTGGGAGTGTAAAGGCATATGCTGTATGCATCTCTCCAGTAGAGTTTATAGTTTTGTATGTGTATGAGTAAGTCTTACGAAGTCTCTTAGGAGGAATTAAAATAATAAAGAATGGTATAAATGAAAATAATAAAAGGTCCCTAAAACTTTCCCCAACTGCCTGAATACTAACACCTTCTTTTGATTGCTTCCAGAGTGTTAGTGTGCACTTGAGTAACTAGCGGTTTCTGCCCCCAGGTCCCCTCGTGTTCCTCTGGTATTATAATGAGGTGTTTCCCATTAGCAGCTTTGTCCTTCATTGTTTGCAGTTGCACCATAGAATTGTATCATATGAGTGCATAGTGATTTTTAAAACCGGTCACTTGTAGAGTGACCAGTGTTTCCTTGTTTCCACATCTTTTGCTAGTGCAATGATTGAGACTTCCACACTCCTGCTACAGGTGCTGTGTAAAGGAATTAGTGTGGCATCTTCACAGCTGGCATTGAGGCTTTTTATTTTTGATGATGTTTGCATAGTTGAGAAGGATGCATGCCCATGTGGACCACCGATTACGGTGGCGAGGGTCAAGGAATGGGGGAAAGAGAAAGAGACAGCTTTAGATGTCACTCGCTTGCGTTCTCATAGAGATTGCTTACAATTGTTTAATCAGATTTTATGTGTCTGATTTTTTTCTCTCTCTTTCTTGAACGGTATCCTCCTTTCACGGGTTTGCCCGTCAGATAAGAAGGAAGGTGGCTGATCACATTTGTCCTGTCCCTGAAGTTCTGATTGGGTACCATGTAGCTGTAGTTGCTAAGGGAAATGCAAGGTGAAGTGATTGCTTCCTTCAATGATTCCTATCACTTTTTAATGTCAGTTAAATCTAGGGTGGCCTTCCTTGCAGCTTCCTTAACCTTCGCTTTTGAGAATATATAATTATATCAAATCAATGGTTTATGAATATTATATAGGAATTGCATACATAGCCGTATTTACATCGTGATTATCATTCTCAAAGTCAATTTTACACAAGGGAAAAAAGTAGTATAATGGATAATAAGTTACAATGCTAAAAGTCATTCTAGTTAGTGCTATATTTAACGCTGAATAGGATGATTTTTCTGTGCTTTCCAGATTTTAAAAAGTCAGCTTGTCCAATTTGTAAAAAAAAAAAAAAAAAAAGGACCATTTTAAAAATTTGTCACATAACGTGCTTCTAGCAGAATTAGATTTTCAGCAAATGTTTGGCTGATTGAAATCTCTGGACACGGTGTATCTTGTCCTTTGGCTAATTTGGGAAACTGTGTTAGGAAAACATTGTCCACGTCCTCTGGCTGGCCCGGGATCGATTGCCTCTGTTCAAGATGATATAATGTCTGTCTGTCTTTTGTTTTGTCCTTGTCCAAAAGCTCTTCACCATAATCTCAGAATAAAGTAAGAGTTGTCATGCACTCGAATGTGTGCACCCGCCCAACTCATATGCACACATGCATGCCCCCACATGTGTGTAACACATCATTTTCTCTCTCACACACGCACACGCACACACACACACACACACACACACACACACAAAGTTGCTCATTAGAAGTTCTGCGTTGTGTCTGAAAACAGCCACCCCCAAGGCCAGCTGTGAGGATTATTCATCAAATTTGGACACATTTCATCAGGCTTTTCCTGGCAACAATGGAGACACTGACTTGTGGAGGAGAATGTTTCCAGCCATTAGATTTAGATGAAGAATATCTTTGCGAATGTGGATTCGTAACTGTTCTGCAGAAAGAAGTTCTTAAAGAGAGGCAAAGCTGTTAGCAGGAGAACCGGGCTGCACCTACACCTCTCTGCAGGGCTCTGCTTGCCTCCACTCGTGACTTTCTCAGATGCTCACAAGTAAATTGTAAAACTCACACTTAAGCAAAATTCCCTTTGTGAGATCCTTGGATAAGGACATGCAAACACTCCTTTGCATTAATATAGAGGCAGGTTGGTTTCTACATGAAGGATCCTCTGCATTTAATGGCACTGTTAGTTATCCCTGAGAACCACAAGGATCTGGGTTCAGAACCTCCTGCTGACACTGAGACTGGTGGATGCTCTAGTCTCTTCTGTAAGATAGTTTAGTATTAGCCTGTAATCTATGCATGTTGTCTTGTATACTTTAAGTCATCTGTAGGTCACTTGGAATACCTAATGCAAATGGCATGCTATGTAAGTAACTGCTATTCTGTGTCACTGAGGGAATAATAATGAGAAAAATAAGTGTAAATGTTCATAGGGTAATAAGTTCTTCCCAAATATTTTCAGTTCAGGGTTGTTTGAGTCTGGACATGGATGACCATGATCATAGAAAGCGGACTGCACACAGCTTGGTCTATATGATTATCTTTCCTAGTGAAATTTTCAAGTTTTTTTTCTCTAGATCTCATGCCATTGCTTCTGGAGGTGCCATCTGTCATCCTGAGAGCCTGATCACCTACGGGGACTCTTGTGGGTGACAGAAGTAGGTGGCTTGACAGGTTTTGAGAACAGAAAGTTTTTTTTTATATATAGCATATATAGTCCTGGAGTTTAGAGAGTAAGAACATGGACTGTAGAGTCAGAAAGACTTGATGTTGAATTCCAGATCCACAGCCGACTAGTAACATGACTTAGACTAAGTAACAGTTCATTGGGAAGATAATTTCTTTGTCTGTTTAATTTTGAGAATTTAAAAAAATATATATATATTTTTATTGAAATGCAGATTTATAGAGAGAAGGAGAAACAGAGAAAAGATCTTCCAGCTGCTGGTTCACCTCTCCAAGTGGCTGCAACTGCCAGAGCTGAGCTGATCAAAGTCAGCAACCAGGAGCCAGGAGCCTCTTCTGGGTCTCCCTCACAGGTGCAGGGTCCCAAGGCTTTGGGCCGTCCTCAGCTGCTTTCCCAGGCCACAGGCAGGGAGCTGGATGGGAAGTGGAGCAGCTGGTATATGAACTGGCACTCCTGGCTTTGTCCCGGCTGATCCCTGGCCTTTCAGTCATTTGGAGAATGAACCACGGGATGTAAAACACATCTCTCTCGCGCGCGCGCCTTTGACTTTACCTCTCCTTCTTAACTCTGCCTTTTGAGTAAATTAAAAACAATTTTTAAGGGAATTAAGCAACATATTGTATGTGAGGCATCATTGATGCGCAGTGGCTCTGCTGCCTCAGGGTGTGCTGGATTTCTGCTGTCCTCCGGGTTCCAGTGTGAGGTCAGAGTGACATATCGGGTTTGAAGCAAGCTCTGCCCTCCTCCTATAACCACAGCAACCATCAGAGGTGATCCAGAAGATGGAAGATCTCTTTCTCTCCCTGTCTCTCCTCTCTCTGTAGCTCTCCTTTTCAATAAAATAAAATCTTAAAAAAATTAAAAATACTCAAAATGGGCCAAGTCCAAAGTAACCATGGTCATTTCCATGGCATTTGGGAACACTGTAGGGGTTGTCTGTAGTCTAGGTGCAGAATAAGTTGCTTTCCCTGCGACATAAAGAACATCTCCCTGCAGTTACAAAGCAGTTCTCATGGGCCAGTTCCCTTGCTCATCTGAAAGGAAAAAAAAAGCTCACACTCGGGAAAACCTTCCCTGGTGAAGGAAGCCAAAGGCAGTGTTTGGATAGACAATTGAATGAGAGGCTGTTGTAAGGTGTGAACACAGAAACCTCATTTGTTCCAGAGACAATGGATCCTTGGCCAACGCCCGGCACACCATGGGACCTCGAGTTGTATTTATGAGTGAATGCACGGATGGATGGGCTGATGGATGGTGGTAACTCTCTCTCTCTCTCTCTCTCTCTCTGTTCTGATCTCAGAGACACCAGAAACCGTTCAGCCAGGTGCCACAGCCCAGCCTGCCAGCGAACATTCTCTGCCACATATCAGGCAACAGCTGTGGAATGAAGAGTGCTACCACGGCAAGCTGAGCAGGAAGGCAGCCGAGAGCCTGCTGGTGAAGGACGGGGACTTTTTGGTTCGAGAGAGCGCAACATCCCCTGGCCAGTATGTACTGAGCGGACTCCAGGGAGGCCAGGCCAAACATCTTCTCCTGGTGGATCCCGAAGGCAAGGTAGCCCTAACTTGTAATTTACAGGCTTTGCAGGAGAATGTTCTACTAAGACTAGCTTGAGGGACAGCGAACACTGGCCTTGATGGATCTCAAGGCTAAGTGTGGACATTGCTCTGAACTTTCTAGCTGGAACAGGAAGTGCTAAATAGAAGAGGGGGTGAGATTGGGGGGCTACTCTGAGTCATCAGATAGAGGCTAGCTTCTTTCTGCCCTTCTCAAATCAGTCCAGCAAATTGCAGGTGTACCCAGCACATGGAAGAAAGCCACAGGTGTCTGATACTCAGCGTCATGTAGGTATTTCTTACTGCCAGGGTGCTTATGATTCCATAAAGTAGATGTTTAAATAATAACATCAGGATGAGTGAGGGAAGGAAGGTTCAACCAAAGGGTTCTTTCTCAGGTCAGGCTGATTGAGGCCGATTGAGAAGGCTCCTTGTGGGCTCTGACCTGTAGGATAAACCTTGAAAGAGGACAGAACAGAGTTATAAAGGAGCAGAGAGAGTAATGAAATGGTAGAAGCCTATACAGCGTGTGCAGCTGGAGCAGAAAGTGAGCCAGGAAGGACAGCTTGCAGCCACCGTGTGGGATGGTGGTATGGGCCAAACTGCCTTATTTGCTAGAGTGCGGGGGCTGACCATTTCAGAGGAGGGACTTGGATGTCACCAAACCAATGTGGGTGGTGACATCATCCAGGTGGCAGAAGGGATTCCCTAGCTCTCATTCAACCACAGAAACAGTAGTTTAAGTCCTTTATATGGGCCAAACTGTCCTTGTGAGAACGGCAGAATCCAGCTGAGAAGCTGTGGTCCCCCAGGCAGGCACAAAGTCAAGAAATGTCACCCTGACATCGAGGCAGGAAGGCAATTTCACTTCACCTGCATCAGTTCCCTTTCCGGGCCAGCAAAGCTCGGGGGCAGCAGCAGTGTGACTGCTCCCTTGGTGTGGCAAGAGCGGAGCGTGCATCCCTGTTGTGGCTTTTCAGGGACTGCCCGAGGAACTGGTTGTGCCTCACGTCCTTCAAAGCACCAGCAGCACTGGATGCCTGGGTACCACTGAGGACGGAAAACGCTGGGAAACAGCTGGCCCTTCTTCATTTGGGCAGGAGAATGTGCACCACATCTGGCTGCTCACTGAGGAAGGAGAAGAGAAAACAAGTGTACCACCAGCTCCTGCCTCTGCTTGATGGGCTGGCATGTGTTTGGCCTAGATGGGAGGTCAGCAGTGAGGACAAGAGCCCAGTGACTTGCTGCCGTAGCGCCAGGAAAGGTGCAGTGCCACAAAAGGACACCAGAGGGAGCAAGGGATTACAAATCCTCGGAAAACTGAGATCCTTCAGACCCAGAGAACCCGCTTCCCTCTGGAAAAGGCTTCAGAGCACACCGCAGCTCCCAGAAGCTCTGGCTTGAAGCTGGTCTGCAGTAGTCAAGGCATCCCCTTGTATGAAGCTGGTTTGTGGTGGGAGAGGTGGATGCTTTTAAATGCATGATTCCTAAACTCAAGTTATGGGACATAAAGAAAAACATGAAGGGAAGCGTGGCCCAAAGAGAGGAACAAAAGAAATCTTAATGAAACGAAAATATATAAATTGCATGACAAAAATTCAAAATAACCGTTAGAAAGATGCTTTGTGAGCTCAGGAACACAATTTAGAACAAAAAGAGAATATCCATGATGAGCGAGACCACATAAAAAAGCAGAGAGGCTGGCATTGTGATGCTGCAGTTTCAGCCTGTATCTACAATGCCAGCATCCCAGATGGGACCTGTTTGCGTCTTGGCTACTCCACTTCCAATCCAGAAGATGACTCACATGCTTGGCTCCCTTCCACCACAGGGGAGACCTAGAAGAAGCTCCTGGCTTCAGCCTGGCCCAGTCCCAGTCATTGCAGCCATCTGGGGAGTCAACAAGCACATGGAATATAACTCTGTCTCTCCCTCTCTCTGCCTTTCAAATACATAAATAAACCTTTTCTTTTAAGTCAGAAATTGCAACTTTGAAAAATAAAACAAGGCACAAAAATTTCACGAAAAGGGTCCAGCAGCAGACTTCATCAAGCAGAGGAAATCATTGAACTTGAAGATGGCTTAAAATTACCCAGGGAAACAAAAAACAATGGGGAAAAAAATTAAGAACAAAACCTACAGGACCTGGGGGATAGCAGTGCTAACACCAGCAAAGGTACTGTGGAAATCCAGAAAGTGGAGAGGGAGGAAGGGAGAAGGAGACAAAGAAAACTATGGCCCGAAATTCCAGAAATCTAGAGAAGAAATGAGCATCGTGTTCAAGCAGCCAAGCTACAAGAAACCCAAAGAGGCACGGGCATCGTGGGATGCCTACATCTTGTGTTGGAGGGACAATTCAAGTTCCAGCTTGACTGCTTCTCGTCCAGCTTGCTGCTGATGCCCCTGAAGACAAATGATGGTGGGCGTGCTTGTGTCCCTACCACTCGTGAGGAAGCTGCATGCTGAGTTCCGGACTCCTGGCTTCAGCACGGTCCAGTACTGATGTTGCAGGCATTAGAGTTACTGGAAAATTCCTCTACCCCTCTCCCCATGTGTCCGGTTCTTTGCCTTTGAAATAAAATGAACGTAAGATTTTAAAAGCTGCTAGGTGACATCACAATCAGTGGTGAAAGATTAAGCTTCTCTTCTAAGATCAGGAGCAAAACAAGGATACCCACTCTTCTCACTCTCAGTTGTCGACATAATACTAGAAGTATTAGAGAAATTAGTAAGCAAAAGTAATACAAACAACCAAATCATCAAGGAAGCAGTGAAATTGTGCTTGCAGATTGCATCATCTTGCATGTAGAAAACCTTGAGATTCAGAAAAAAATCTTTTAGAACTAATAAATTCATTAAAGTTGCCAGAAACACAAAAATGCAAAAATCAGTTGATAATTCCAGAAAAAAAAGAATTATCCAAGAAGAAAATTAATAAGATTGCATTTGAAGCAACCTCATGAAGAATAATATACTGAGGAATATTTTTAGCAAGTAGAGAAAAGACACACATGTGTTGAAAATTACAAAATATTGGTGAAAAAGATTACAGGTAAATGGAAGACATTCCATGGTTGTTAATTGGAAGCATTAGCACATTGAATGTGCACTACTCAATGTAAAGACTCAATGCAATCTTTATCAAATTCACAATCAATTTTTATGGACATAGAAAAACCATCCTAAAATCCATATGGGACTGCAAAGAACCCCCAATATCCAAAAACAACGTCCAGAAAGGAAAACAAAGTTAGAGGTCTCACACTTCTGTGTTTCAAAACATATTACAAAACTGTATTAATTAAAATTGTACTGGCATAAAAGATTGGAAGAACAATGGAATAGAACAGAGAGCCCAGAATTAAACCCCATTGTATTTGGTCAGATAATCTTCAAGAAGAGTGCTACTATGTAATGGGGAAAGGATGGTGTTTTCAAGAGCATTTCTCAGGGACGCTAAATATCTGCATGCAAAAGAATGAAACTGAACCTTAAGATACACAGAGATACCAGTCAAATGATTCAGCAGAAGACCTGGCACTATAAACACTTCAAAGAAGCCTAAGCGTGCAATAAAAGCATTTTAGTACTGTTCTTCGCAGTGGAAATTTTTTTTTTTTTTAGATAAGGCACCAAACAACAAGCATCAAAAGCAAAAATAGTGGGAGTAGTGGGACTACATTAAAAAGCATCTTCATAGCAAAAGGGACCATCAACTTAGTGAAAAAGCAACAAACAGAATGGGAGAAACTATTTGTAAAGTGTGCATCTCATTAGTAGTTCATACACAAAGTATGTAAGGGATTCCTCTTTTTCTGTAGCAAAAACCTCAGAGAAACCCATTTTAAAAAAATCTCTTTATTGGAAAGCCGTAATCGCGTAGACAGAGGAAGAGACAGATCTTCCATCCACAGTTAATGGCTGCAATGGCCAGAGTTGGGCCTGTCCAATGCAGGGAACAGGAGATTTTTCCGGGTCTCCCACATGGGTGCAAGAACCTGGACCAGACTCTGCTGCTTTCCCAGGCCATAAGCAGGGAACTGGATCAGAAGTGTTGCAACCAGGACTTGATCTGGTGACCATATGGGATGCTAGTGCTACAGGTGGAGGCTCAGCCTGCTATGCCATGATGCAAGATAATCCTATGTAAAATGGGTGCAGGCTTTGAATATATATTTGTCTCAAGAAGGCATACAGCTGAATACCAGGTACAGGAAGAGGTTCTAAGCATCACTAATTATCAGATAAATGTGAATCAAAATCATTGTTCCTTATGACTAAGCAAACAGATAATATCAAGTGTTTATAAGGAGTTTGAGAAGCTGAAGCCTTTGTACTCTGTTGCTGGGAATGCAAGATTATGCAGCCACTATGGAAAAGAAAATTATTATGTCCCCCCCAAAAAAGTTAAAAACAAAACTATTTTATTATAACCAGTTTTGGGTAGTTAGTCCAAAGAACTGACGTCATGACCTTGAAGAGATACTGGCATTCCCATTTCATCGTGGCATTACTCAGAGCAGCCGTGAGGTGGGAAAAAGGGGAAGGAAAGTGTATGGATGATGAATCCATCAGGAAACTATGGTGTGTACACCCAATAGGACTCGATGCGAGTAAGAAGGAAGGAAACCCTGGCATGCTGCAGTGTTTTCAGAGAGCTTGCAGCCAGCATTGAGGCATAGTGGGCAAAGCCCCCGCCTGTGATAGTGGCATCCCATATGGACACCTGTTCATGTCTTGATGCTCCACTTCTAGTCTAGCTCTTTGCTGCCTGGAAAAGCAGCAGCGGAGAATGGCTTAAGGGCTTGGGCCGCCGCCACCCGTGTGAGAGACCCAGAAGAATCACCCAGCTGCAGCCACTGCGGCCATTTGTGGTGTGATTCGGCAGATGGAAGCTCTCTGCAAGTCCCTGTAACTCTTCTGTAACTCCCCTGACTTTCAAAAAAACAAACAAATCTTTTTTTTTTTAAGGAACAAATATAGGTTTTATACATATGTATATATAAAGTATATGTATATACACAAATATATGTATATATAAAAACATACATATAAAGAGGCCTTAAGAGCATTATGTCAAGTAAAATTATATATTATATCCTATATATCATATATATTATGTAAATAAATATGTATTTATTAATTCAAAGAGAGGCCTTAAGAGCATTATGTCAGGTAAAACAAATTAGTCACAAAGGACAAATACTGCACTCATTCACTGAATTGAAGTGTCTCAGTAAGCAACCTCACAGACACCACAGTAGAGTGGTGCTTGGTAGGGACTGAGGCCAGGGGAAGCGAGTTGCTGCTGTTCAAAGCACCAAGATGGAGAAGTGCTTGAGCCTGCAGCATGGCACTGTGCTTAGAGTTAAAAGACTCATGCTACACTCAAAATCTGCTAGGAGGGTGAATCGCATGCGTTTTCTTTTTTAATACTAAAATCACACACACATACTCACAAAGCCTGTGGATGGGGTCCCATTTGCCATGTTTGTGGGGTGCAGGCAGTACAAAGTTGGGCAGATGAAGGGATGAGTGCAGAGTGGTAGGTGGTGTCGAACTGGGAAGCACAAGGCACTGGAAGGCACAAGGAAGGGGAGCACTGGCCTGGGCAGCCACAGCTGGTGCTGTCCCACGGAGCAGAGGACTTGGTAGGAACAGATTTGGCTTTTCCAGAGCTGCTGCAAAACCAGAGATGTGCTCGAACGCTCTCCCCCACTTAAAATCCAAAATATTTAAAACTCTCTCTGGTGACCTTATTCTACTCCCTAGTAGACTAAAATATTAGTGTTTTCAGCCAGAGGGTGGCCTGTTTATAATCTCTGTCCTGGAAAGATGAACTTGACATTTGTATGCAGGACCAATTAGAAGAGTGAGGATCAGAGGCAGACAAAGTGGTTATGGAAAAAAACTGTGAAAGCCTGAAGCAGAATTGAGGCAAGAGAAGTAGAGCAGGGAGGCAGAGTCCATTGGGATAAAGGATGCAAGCAGGCAGGGTCCAAGTCTCTCTGATTTTGTATGGGGCAAGGATGAAAAGGAGGCGAAAATCATTTCTACAAGCTTTGGAACCATTGAGAGTACATTGAAGCCATTATGATATTTTTTGTAAATCCTTGAAAGTGTATTTTTTTAAGAGGGGTGCCCTTTTTCTTAACCCTGGTGCAATGATCAAAATTAGGAAAGTGAACATTGGTACTTTATAGTTAACTGATTCATAGTCCACATTCAAATCTACCAACCATACCAATTAGTATGTGTGCTTTTTAGATGCCAAAGACCATGATCTAGAAAAGACCCAAAGAATCCCTTGGAGGGGAGCTTACGGAATTACAAAAACCGTGTTCACTGTATGCACTCCTTATCTCTCCAGCATGGTTCCCAGCCTTTCCCAAAAAAAGAAGCACGTGCAGGCCAAGTCAGTGACACAGCAACAAAGAGTCATGCTAGTATACTATGCAGGTACAGAGTGAGGATACAAAATTATTAGGGGGAAGTTCCTCGGGACAAGGCATGGCATAGGAAGATTTGAATTGCTCTGGCAAGCAGACTGTTGCACGCAAGAAATATTTGTGATTCAGCTATTATGGTATCTGTGGAAAGGAGACACAGGTGCCTTCTCAGAAGAGACAGGGCTTGTCTTGAATGTCCAAGGAGGGGTATGACTTCTCTAGGGTGGTCTGCTTCGGATAGAGACAGCATACTATGGAAACCCTCTCTCTACTTTATGGCAGATTCTTGTAGTCCCTCATGGCTGTGTACAAGGCAATTCTGTATAAGTGGTCACATGATAAAATATACTACACAATAACATTGCAAATTGAGGTTGAGTGGTAAGTCCTCACCATGTTCCTAGCCCGTCGGAATGGTTGAGAGGCAGATGCTCATCACACCAGAGGAGAAAGAGACAGAGAGACAGGCCACCTGTCTGCTGGTTCACCACCCGAAGGCCCACAATGTCCAGCATTGGGCCAGGCTGACTCTGGGTGCTTGGAACTCCTTCAAGATCTCCTGAAGCCATCCTCTGCTGCCTCCTGGAGTGAACCCTTGCCTGGGAATCAGGCCTAGGTTCCAGCCAAGGCACCGTGGGCTGCGAGACAGGTGTCTCTGCTGGTGTTTGGTCATTGTGCCAAACTCCCACCCTATCATGGCTGCTTTAAGGAAATAATGAGGAATGAGAAAACTGGGTACTAGGGGATATTTAGTTTTATAGCACCTTTGATTTTCTAAGTAGAATATCTGGTTTAGGGATATGTCTGTCTGTCTTTTTTTCTCTTGGTTCTTTCAGAGGAACTATTATTATTTAACCCAAATATGTTTGTTTTTCCTTGTCAAGGTGAGGACCAAAGATCATGTGTTTGACAATGTTGGCCACCTTATCAGATACCATATGGATAACAGTTTGCCAATCATCTCTTCTGGAAGCGAAGTAAGCCTTAAGCAACCTGTGAGAAAAGACAATACTTCAGCACTTTTGCACTTGAAGAAATGACACTTTTGAAGTAATCACCACCCTGATCTTTCAAGAAATTCCATTTTGTGTTAGGACACAAAGGGAGTTCAGACTTGCTTTCTAGAAAAATAGGGCACACACTGCAAAGTGCGTCTCTCTGAGACCATCACAGATCAGATCCTTTATAAACAACTAACAAAACTGATCTTCAGGAAAGAGGAAGAGGATCAACCCATGTGAAAAGAAGCTATACGTATGCACAGATGTCACTTTTTAAAAGTCATAATGCATTAATAACAAGCTAAAAGCACAATTGTTACACCTGCTAGAAACAACTTGAACTGCTGGGGCAGTAGTACGTGCCTTTCAACTTGATAACTTAGGGACGTTTTCATATTGGGGATTGTAGTTTTAAGTGTCTTCATGTTCTATCACTACAGAAATATTTGCCAAAAAAAAGAAAACTTTTCCTTGCTACAGGAAAACAGAGCAATTTGCTTGATAGTTATTAACATTATTATATTTTTGTTTTAGTGGCATTTTTCACGGTAATGTTACAATAAATATGACATTGAACTCAGACTGTGTGTATGCTGTGGAATCAAGAGAAGAACCCTTGAAAGTGTTGGTCTGTTCCATGGGTCTGTCCCATGTACTGGTTAAAGGCTTGAGGTCACGATTCTTTGGTCCAGTATTTGCAAAGCGCTGCTGTTTAGACTGTATACAGCATGCGACAAACTGAAGAGCTTCTGGTTTCATCATATCCTCCCTCCCTTCCCTGTCCAAAAACAAGACTCTTGAGTGCATAAATTTAAAAGATGATGAACAAAACCAGTGCTCTTTGTTTTCGGTATTTAAATTGGTTGTGTTCTTATTGAAAGCACAAATACGGAAATCAGGGAAATCCCAGTCTCTCCCCAGCTGTATCCCAGCACCTTTTCTAGACACGATCAAAGTAGCGAAGGTACATCAAGGCAACAGCTTGAAGTGTGTCATGCATCAGTACATGGGTAAACGTGTGGCATCCGTGTTATATAACCAAGCCTGTCTGGGTTCCAGGTCTCCTGTCTGTGAGATGAAGGAGCCCAGGTGAATTCTGGGATCTACTTCAAACCTAACGGGATGAATCTAGTCAAAAGTTTTTGATTTGCCAGGGTTCAACCGTGATAATCAGTCTACATAAATATGGTTAAAAATCAATTCTTTTCTTTTCTGTAACCACAGAATGGATGTTCTGAGACGAGCATTTGTGAGTTTAGACCCTCAGCCTTTCTGTTAAAAACACTGAACATTTGGAATCATGTAGATAAAGATGGTAGAAGTGGAGCTGGTTTATTTTGAGTAACAGAAAACTGTTTCAGTTCTTTTTGCATATAGAGACATGGGCATTACTGTAGAGTGTTTTTCTTTTAAACCTGACTTAAAAGACAATCGCGTTAAACCCGTTTCATTTTCACTGTGTAGATTCAGCTTTTTCTTTGCAGTTATGATAGATATATTTGCTCATTTCTAAATAAAATATTGAAAATTTCAGATGGATATCATTAGAAACCCAACATGTTGGAATCTATTATTTCCATGCAAAGGGTATGGTTTTATGGTTTTATTCTATTTCTACGGCTAGTAACTTCTTAGATAGGCTTGTTTTTTTTTCTTTTTATGCAGTTAGAAAACAATGTATTTTTCATTAGCTTTCCATATATCTTAGTTCATTTTTTTTCCTCATAAAAAGGAACTACATGGTATAGATAATAAAATCATGGACATGGTATGACTGTGTCTCCATCGGCTGGGCAGTGTTACCTGAGTGGCAAGAAAGAGCTCCGGATACGGTGGAATGCACTGTGTGAATGGGTGAGCAGTACACACGCATAGGCAGTGTTTGACTCTAATGATAGTAGTGAGGTGAGCAAGTCCTGCTCTGAGAATTATCACAGATACGGCTACAACCAAGGAGAAGGAACGCCTACACAACATTTTAATCTTGCACTCCTCATCTGTCAAAGTGGAAATCGGTTTGTCTATAAGTACATGTAAATTACTTTTTTAAAAAAAAAAATAAATGATTATTGCTTTGTGACAACTGACAAAATGTCTGCTGTTTTGGACTTGGAACAAACCTGTCATTAGCAGGCTATTTTGGGATCCTAGAGAAAAGAGATGGTTCACTCTCATGGGGTAATTGGAGGACGGTTCAGCACCTGTCTGAACAGAAAAAAGGAAGCCACAGGGACAAAGCAGTGCCCTGGGAGCAGTGCTGGAATTCCGAGAGATGCAAACAGTTCCGGTGACTCCATGAGCAAGTCCCTAGGGCCTTAACACCCGGCGTTTTATCTGCTCACCCTCTCCTCCTCTATTGGGATTCGCACCAGGCCAAGCAATCTGCAGAGATACTAGTCGCAATGCCAAGGGCTGGCACTTGGGACACCAAGAGGCAGGAGAAGGGTAGAGAGGGGATCTGGAGGGGCAAACGGAGCACATCCAAAGGACATGGAAGCAGTCAGTCTCCTTAGAGAAGATCTGCACCAGCTCGTCAAGGGAAAAGATTGCAGAGGAACAAGCCCAGGTAGGCAATGTGCACATATGTCTGAGTGCCGACAGGCCGAGTGTGAATTGTCGTTAAAAACCTAACAAGTTATATGTTGAGATCCAGTTAAGAACAATTTCAAATACTTTGAAATCTTAGATAATTTCCATCTTTGTCATGTTTCTTAAAAGTACTTCTGTAACTTTTGCCATTTTTCTTTTAACTTGTGTTCATATCTGGAAAAATCGTCTCACCCTACCACTTTAAAAAAAAGTATTTATTTATTTTTATTACAAAGTCAGATATACAGAGAGGAGAGGAGAGACAGAGAGGAAGATCTTCCATCTGATGATTCATTCCCTAAGTGACCACAATGGCTGGTGCTGTGCCAATCCGAAGCCAGGAGCCTCGAACCTCCTCTGGGTCTCCAACATGGTTACAGGGTCCCAAAACTTTGGGCTGTCCTCGAGTGCTTTCCCAGGCCACAAGCAGGGAGCTGGATGGGAAGTGGGGCTGCCGGGATTAGAACCAATGACCCATATGGGATCCCGGGCACATTCAAGGGGAGGACTTCAGGGTAGGAATGTGTCTGCAGGCAGTCTCCCCACCCAGCACTGACCCTGTGATTGGCTGGAAGACACGTCTATCTCTTTAGGCCCTCCATGGGCAGACACGCCGTGAGCCATGCCTACAAGGTGAGATCTCCCACATGAATTGGTATTAAAGTATACTGTTATTTAGTTTCTTTGAGTTTCTTATTTATATTGGGTAACAGACTTGGCTTCATTGGTGTGCCCCTATATGCTCCAGCTGTTATAGGCTCTTTCTCGGTGTACAGATTTTTGTAAACTAACAATGGAGCATATAACAATATCATAGCGTTAGAGTGAAAGAGAGATCATTATTTAAGACTAGAGACATAGCAGGAATAACAGCAGAAAGCTACACAAGGCTCTATACACATGAATTCAACAGTGAATCCAGTGAGACAGCTCAACTGCTCCAAAAGCTTGAACGTCACATTTCACTCAGTATGGTCACAGTATGTTGGATGCCACTTTCAGGGTGGCAGTGCTTCCATCTGGTAGCTTTGACACTGCAGAAAAGGTAGGGAAACGGGCAAAAGGCGGTTTGGCACCACCTTTATACAAACCTTGTTAGTGGGAGGAACCCGATCTCTTCAATAATGTGACCTTCTCCTCTTGAGAGTTAGAGCCCCACCCAGCTCACAGGTGTGTCCAAAGAGCAAGGCAAACATGTCCCAATATTCCACAGATAATCTCCTGAGCATTCAGGCTCTTCGCAACTTTTTCCTCTCTCTTCGCACACTTGTCTTTCCCTACAGGCTTCAGTACTTTGTAAACAAAGGTATGTTAGACTCCTTCCTCCTGCACAGGGCACCTTAGCTTTGCGCGGTGCCTTTATTATTCTTGCAGGCTTCAGAAAGCTCTTCTTTAATGTTTGTTTATTTTTATTTGAAAGGCAGATTTTACTAAGAGAGAAGCTGAGACTGAGAAACAAAGAGATCTTCCATCTACTGGTTCGCTCCTTAAATGGCCTCGATGGCCAGAGCTGGGCGACTCCAAAGATAGGAGCCGGGAGCTTCTTCTGGGTCGCTCACACCAGTGCAGGGGCCCAAACATTTGGACCATCCTCTGCTGCTCTCCCAGGCCCATGAGCAGGGAGCTGGAATGGAAATGGCACAGCCAGGAGTCGGAACCGGTGTCCGTATAGGATGACAGTTTGTAGGATGGAATTGAAGGACAAATGCACAAGTCTCCTATGGGTTCCATGAGGAAACTGAGCGCTTGACGGAGTTCAGGAGTGGAAACGGGCAGGAGTCACTGCTCCCGTTTCGCGCACCAAAGGGGCAGAGGATTCGTTTTTGCTGAGATGAACTTAGCCAAAGCTCTCTGGCGAGGCGCCCTGGCGTCTCCAGGAAACCTGTAAGCCCTCCCACCCGTCTCGTCATTGGCTCACGAAGCCTCCAATGGACGCACCGGGAGCTTCCCGCCACGCCTGGCGCCCGCTTTCAAACAGCCGGACGCGTGCAGCTGCGGGCGACCTCTCAACCCAGCTTGGGGAGGGCGGAGACGCGCCCCGCCTGGCCCCACCCTGCAGGCCAGGCTCTAGACGCTGATTGCAGGAGGCGGCTGCTCCTCACGGGCCTCGTGCGTCCACGTTCGGTTGTGACTAGGAAGGAGCTAGCTGATTTTAGGACTAGGGCGAAGGGGGTTTGCTAGAAGTTGCTCTTGGGCTGGGGCCAGAGTTTTCCCGCACTGACAGCGTCCGTGGCCTCCGGTGAGTTCCCCTTCGCGCCTAGGCGTAGCCTCCGGGGTGGAAGAGTGACGGGGGTCTTGGGGGATCCTGGCCGAGGCTTCCCCAGGTGCAGATTCGCCCCCTTCCCCAAAGCACGCAGTGGTGGGCTGCCTGCAGGTGGCTGAGCTCGGCTTTGAAGCCCAGGTTTCTCCTTGGAGGTGACGGCCGGGCATCCCTGCCAGTCTCTTCTCCCGGCTGCTGGGGTCGCCCCCAGACTCTGGCCCGGCGCCGTGCCTGGCTCATAGTGGGTGCTGTGTGCACGCGTGCTGACCGGGGGCAGGTGACGCTGGCCGCGGAGCCGGCACCCCCGGCGGGTGGGCGCCGGGCAGCGCGGTCTCCGGGTGCCTGTTGGATGCGTCGTGGCTGAGGTCTCATAGTTCCTAGGTAAGGTCGTTTCGTTTATTCCTGCGTTTGTCCGCCTGTTCATTCTGTGGGTGCCTGCTGTATGTTATGATCACCTGTGGGCCTGCTGTCATTACAGTGAGCAGAAGGTGTTGGTTCTCGATAGGGCTGTTTTCTTTCATTTTTTTGTGTGTCCTGTTAGACTTTGACACCGCAGTTAGTGCTTGGTCAATCGTTGGGTGAACGAGCAGGCATCTTCAGCAGAGACGTTTCAAGTGTAAAGCGGGCTGGTGTGTTCTGGCTAAGGCATGTTTGCAAGTAAACAGTTTCCCAACTCCCAGGGCGGTTCATACACATTGAAGCCCTTTAATCTTGTAGTTGCCAGTTTGAGTCAGATTGAGGCCGAGTGACATCATATGTCCACAGTTCACGACAGTTGGCATCCGCTTTCTAGGTGGGTGCACGCAATCAAAAGAGGCTGAAGTTGAAACCCCAAGAAAAGCCTCCGAGGTAGTGTGAAGGTGCAAGGAAGGAATTGATTCTGTGGGGGAACTGGTGAGGGCCTTTTGCAGGTGGTGGTGTTTTCATTCCAGAGGAGGTTGCATTGTTTGAAGTAAGCTTGCCCACAGGCTACACACGCTTTTCTTGGTTCTAAGGAATGTTGTTCGTTACTGTAATCTCTTCGTAGCTGGGAGCCTCCAACTCAGCAATCATAATGTCTTAATAAAATAGTGTGTTGGTGGGCACATGGTGCTAGGCATTTGATGTGCATCGTTTGTGTCCATCCTCACAACCAGTCTTTGAGATGGACACTACTTTTACTCCTATTTCCCTTACGAATTGGGAACAGGTGCTGAAGATTATGCCGTTGATGAAGGAAAGGACCAGAATTACGCTCAGGGTAACCAAATCGGGCTGATTCCTTAGCCACTGGGGTGTCTCTGGATGGATACAGCTGTTTCTAATCTAAAATGCCTTTTTGTACCTTCTCTAAGTCTTCCTTCTTAGGTAAAGTTTGTTTGTGCTCTGTATTTTTCTTTAGGGCCGAATTTAATACGATGTATCCTTGGAACTACAAGTTTATATCATTGTATCTCTAAAACTGATCACCCTGTGGTTTTTGGATCAGGTCTGGCACTCAGCAGGTGGTCAATTAAATTGCATTGAAATCATGAATTCCCATTGAATATCATGTTTGTGCATCAGTCATTGAATGTGAAGTATGCCTACCGTGTGTGATACGTTTTGGGCCTTTAGTGTTCTTTCATGAGGCAAGAACAATGCGATTTTTGTTTTGTCATCTTTGTCCAACTAAGCAGCTTTCAGTTTTCTTCTCTTGGCAAGGAAGGACAGGAAAGCATGACCGGGGGCTGCAGAATATTGAGCCAGAGTACTGTCCCACCTGAGTGTAATGAAAGGCAGACATGCTTTTTTATAGTCTTAAGGATCCCGAAATAGTTACTTAGAAGAAAATACCTAGACTGCTATTTTTTTTTTTTTTTTAAGATTTACTAATTTCTATGGGAAGGGCAGATTATAGAGAGAAGGAGAGACAAAGATCTTCCACCCGCTGGTTCACACCCCAAGTGGCCACAACAGCTGGAGCTGAGCTGATTCGAAGCCAGGGGCTTCTTCCTGGTCTCCCACATGGATGCAGGGTCCCGAGGTTCAGGGCTGTCCGCTACTGCTTTCCCAGGCCGCAAGCAGGGAGCTGGAAGGCAGTTTGAGTATCTGGCGCCCATGTGAGATCTAGGCGTGTGCAAGGCGAGCTTTAGCATTTAGCCACTAGGCTACTGCATGGGCCCAGACTGCTAGTTTTAAAGGCATAACATTGTAGACTGATTCTGCATCTTGGTTTCTTTTTAAATTTTATAGTCTTTATTATTTTTGAAAATGTTTGTCTTTATTTGCAAGATTTACAGAGAGAGAGCGCGCACATGCGAGCTTCCATCAATGGTTCACTCCCCAAATGGTTGCAGTGGCCAGAGCTGAACCCGTTTGAAGCCAGGAGCTGCTTTTGGGTCTCCCATGCCCGTGCAGGGGCCCAAGGCTTTGGGCCATCCTCTGCTTGCCCAGGCCATAAGCAGGGAGCTGGATGGGAAGTGGAGCTGCCAGGACATGAACCACCTGTATGGAATTGTGGCACCACAGGTAGAGAATTAGCTTGCGTGCTAGCTCCTATATCTTGACTTTTTAGATTGTAAATCCTCTGAATCAAATACAGATATTTCACTTTTATTAATACCTTTTTAGGACACATGTATTATTGCTAGATTTCAAGATAGGTTTATATTATCACAATTCATGAGTCACACAAAATACAAAATTACTGCCTTTATGTGTTAGCAGGGGTTTTTTATTTTCTTTTAATCTACTAGTCGAAAATGACATTTGCTTGTTTAAATGATACTCCTTTGAATAATTCATAGGCTTAAGCATTGTTTTTCAAATTGATCATTTTTATTTTGTTAAATTCATTTTCAGCTAGTTGCCCATTTTTAAATTGAGTTGCTTGTCTTATTTTCAGGAATTGTATATTTGGATTTTTTCATGTGTTCTACAAATATTTTTCTCATCGTCTTCTGACTTTATAAATTGTGTGCTTTTCCATACACAATATTGGAATTCTTAATCATGGTTTAAAAAAAAATGATTTGCAAGGCAGGGGGCCAGAGGAGCCAGAGGGGAATCAGCCGTCCGCTGCTTCCCACATCTGAAGTTGTCAAAGCCAGCTGGGGCCAGGGCGAAGCTGGGAGACAGGAACATGACACTGGTCTCCCACACATTCTGCGTTTAATCATAAAGTCTTTGAGAGCACTGGTAGTTAGTGGAGATTAGTAGGTTAAAGTATTATTTTAAATTTCAGCTAAAATACTCATTATTATATTTTTTAAAAAGTTGATCAGTTTTCCCCTTTTAACTGAGTCAGTCATAGAAGGAGAGAAGGAGACAGATCTTTGATCTGCCATGGCCAGGGCTGAGCCAGCTCACACCGGGAACTTCCTCCAGGTTTTAGGCATGGTTGTGGGGCCATCAGCATTCGGGGCCGACTTTCCCAGGTGCATTAGCACTGAAATCTACAAGAGCATATTTCACATTTGCCTTTCCCATCTTAACATCTTCAAAATGGGCTACATTTCACAGTTGGTGAGGCCTGACAGTTTAATTGGGCACGCTTGACTGCTGCACATGGATCTGGTTCATCCCGTCCAAGGCATCTTAGAGCTGTTGAGGCGGGGCAGTTTTTGTTGTGGAGCCACTGGCTGGAGGTTGGCACTAGAGCGCCCAGTGGGTATCACAAAGGGGCTAAGGCCTGCATAGTAACACATGTTTGGATTGCTGGGTCTCTTGGCATCTCATTTTACTGCCAGTTTAATGTCACGTTAGAACCTGAACGGTGTAGAAAAAGAAGCGAGGTGCAGGGTCATGTTGCAGCACATTTTGTTGGCTGGAGGGTCCTGGGGTGAGGCCAGCAGTGTTAAGCCAGGTAACTGGTAACACCTGCTTCCTGGGAGGTTTGTCAAGATTCGAACTCTGAAATGTAGGGTGTTTTGTTTTTTAAGATTTATTTTTATTGGAAAGGCAGATGTACAGAGAGGAGAGACAAGGATCATCCTTCTGCTGGTTCACTCTCCAGGTGGCCGCAGTGGCCAGAGCTGAGCCAATCCGAAGCCAGCAGCCAGGAGCTTCTGCTGGGTCTCCCAAATGAGTGCAGGATCCCAAGGCTTTGGGCCATCCTGCACTGCTTTCTCAGCGACCAGCAGGGGACTGTGTGGGAAGTGGAGTAGCCAGGACATGAACTAGTTCCCATATGAGATCCTGGCATGTGCAAGGCAATGATTTTAGCCATTAGGCCATTGCGCTGGGCCCCAGCATGTGTTAATGTGTGCTGTCAGGGTGCCTAAACAATCTAACTTCAGTCGTTGGTCACCTTTTGGAATCTGAGTGCAGAGAGACCCATGTCCAGCTGCAGCTGCGGAAGCAGTCCGTTTGGTTCTGGAGGTGGAACATGCCATGGAGTAGCTGCACAGCCTTCACTTCTGTTTCCGCCGAGTGTTTTTGACAGAATGTGCCTTTACCAGGCCTTAGAGCGGGTCACTTGACATTCCGGTTGTTGTTGTGTGCTCTGTGGTTTGGCCAGGTCATCAATGGTCCCCCGCACAGCAATCACCAGCAGTATTTGAGTTCCTTCTCCCCCGCCCCCCGCCATTTTTTTGTTATACCATGGGTGTTTGGATTTGTGGCATGTTAAGAATGAAGCAAATTATGGAGGATACTACCTGTGTCATGGTTAAGACATCAACTTTGAGATTTTTTTTAAAGATTTATTTTATTTTTATTGGAAAGGCGGATATACAGAGAGGAGAGACAGAGAAGAAGATCTTCCGTCCGATGATTCACTCCCCAAGTGAGCGCAATGGCGGATGTTATGCCGATCCGAAGCCAGGAGCCTCTTCCGGGTCTCCCGCACGCGTTTGCAGGGTCCCAAAGTTTTGGGCCGTCCTCGACTGCTTTCCCGGGCCACAGGCAGGGAGCTGGAAGGGAAATGGATTAGAACTGGCGCCCATATGGGATCCTGGGCGTGCAAGGCGAGGAGGACCTTAACCACTGTGCCACCACGCCGGGCCCCAACTTTGAGATTTTATTTGAGCTTATTTGGTACACTGAGTTATTAGAGTTGTCTTATTTATGTGTGTGTGGGTGCAGAAATCTTTGTTAATGCTTTCTAGACCACTAGAAAAATTCATTCTTAGTTTTGTTACCTATTTCTTATGTGTGTTTGTGAATTGCTAGTCTACATCTGTTTTCTGTGGGTAAGGGATCTCTCCTTGGGACAGTGTTTTTGATATGTATGGTATACATGTTTTTTTTCAGCCTATTGTGCTTTAATGGGCAAAACCAAGTTCCCTTCCTCTTTCCCACAGGAGGACCATGTCGCTAGACTTTGGTAGCATGGCGTTACAGACACAAAACGAGGATGAAGAATATGACAAAGAAGACTATGAAAGGGAAAAAGAGGTGAGTTCCTGAAGTAAGAAACAAATAAGGCCCAAAGCCTCATCCATGCGTGCAGACTGGAAATTTCATGCAGTACTAGTTTCAGGCTTGTGTTACTGACCCCCACCTGTGCTTGCACATGGCTGTAGGTGGGCTGGAGGTTGGGAGGACCCCAGGTCCTGCTGGTTGCAGCACCCTCCAGCCCCCACTCCTCACCTAGGCTTGGGTTTCAGCACTTAAACCCACCTGCTGTGCTGTTCTCAATTCTCTGCCCGTTCCCTGAGGACATCTAACTTTGCGGCCCTGGTGAGGGCTTCTGAAGTTTGGTAAGGTCCCTCAAAATAAATGTGGCAGGGATGTGGGGCAGGATGTTCTGTAACTTGCAGAATGAAGGTTTTAAAACCCTGAGAGGGTCTGGAAAGTTGGCTGGGCTGCAGCCGCCATGATTGTGAGAGGGTCAGTTTAAGGAATCATTAGTGTAAGAACAAAGAAAAATATTCTGATCGGTGGGCTTTCATTGGGAGCTTACTGCTAGATGTATTAGATGATGAGAAATTTAAAAAGATTGTGAAGGAGGCTGTTAATTGTAGATGACCTAGAACATAACCATTAGAATTACCTCTTTGGTAGATAGATTCTGGGTTAGGAAATTTCTGGAGGAAAAGCAATTTTTTCTTAAATGTATTTATTTCTATTTGAGAGGTAGACTTAACAGAGAAAAGGTTCACTCCCCAGATGGCTGCAGTGGCCAGAGCTGAGCCAATCTGAAGCCAGGAGCCAGGAGCTTCTTCTGCAGGTACTCAGGGATTTGAACCATCCTCTGCTGCTTTCCCAGCCATAAACAGGCAGCTGGATCAGAAATGGAGCAGTTGGGACTCGAACTTCTGCTTACATGGGATGCCCATGTTGCAGGTGGAGGATTAACCTATTAAGCCACCATTCTAGCCTTGGGAAAAGCAATTCTTTGAAGATGGGAGTAGAGGCAGATGACTGGCTGAATGGTTAAGATACCATTTACGATCTTGTGTTATACCCTTAATCAGAGAGTGCTTTGGCGGCTTGATGCCTGTCCTCCAGCTCCTGACTCCAGCCTCCTGCTGAAGCAGAACCTGGGAAATGGCCACCGTGGTTCAAGGAATTCGTTTCCTGACACACGTATGGGAGACCTAGGTTGAGTTCCTGGTTCCCTGGTTTGGCCCAGTCCAGTCCCAACAGTTGCAGGTGCGAGCTTGCTTTGTCTGCCTCTTAAATAATCAAACAGAAGACATGCTTAAGCATGAATGTTTCCAGAAGAGCAAAGGAAAGGAATATATAACTAATTTGGTTCTACTATGACATTACAGTTCTATTCCTCAGATGCTTCGTGTGAATAAAAAGATTTCCACTTCTTTAAAGAAGATAGTTGCTGTCGGGGACAACATGAGTTTGGGGCTACCGAATTTCAGAGTTTCAGTAAACGGAACGCGGAGTTACTGATGTAGATTGAGCCATGTGTATCTCTGTTTTGTTATTGCATGTTAAAGTGGTAAATTGGCTGATCACGCCTTAGCTTGCTTGCATATTTGGTAGTCATTTTGACCCTACAGTTGCAGCATAGCACATGATCTTGAGAGAATAAAGACCTAAAGCAGGTGTCTGACCTGGGATTTAAGCATGTCAGTTGGAACAACTGTATTGGAGTGCCTTGGTGTGAGTCCTGGGTCTGATTTCTGGCCAGTGCAACCCTGGGAGGTTTGTGTGTGAGGTTTGTTTATGATGGTTTGTGCAGTGTGTCCCTGCCATGCTCCCGGAGGTCCGGATTGAGTTCTAGGCTCTGGCCCCTTGGCTGTTGCAGGAATCTGGGAAGTGAAGCAGTGGATGGGAGCGCTTGGTCTCTTGGTCTCTGTCTCTGCCTATAAAATAAAGTAAGACAAAAAAAGAAGGGAAGCACAGTCTTTCTCTGTGTGTTGGTAGCTTTGGAGTGTAACTGTCAGCATGCGGCTCGTGCGTATTGATTGCTTTCCGTACCTGGTGAATCACTTTGTGCTTAGTTATCCAAGGTAGGAGTCTGAATCCTCAGTAATGTACTCAAAGGCTGGCCAGACTGTGTGACCTGGGACTTACCATGATCATGGTAAGGATTTAAGAAAGCTCGTCTCTGTAAATGGTAGGGTGGTCCTGAGTTTGACCTTCTAGTATGGATGGTCACGTGTTGAGCTGCTTTCTGTTGATTGCTTAGGGGCAAGGCAGTGTTTTTGTCTGTATTTGCCTATAACTTAGTGAGTAAGTCATTTCCAAATTCCAAACTCTAGGTCATCCAAATTAGCAACTCTGAATTATGATCTTGCCTTTGCCATTTCTATTCTGTCCATTACTGATATTGACGACCAAGTGGGGAAAGTTCATTTAATGTTCAGAACAGGAAATATTTGCTAAATGAATGTATTTAGTATTCAGAGGACAGTTAGACCAATGAAATTTCAAGACACTGGTCACCAGTAATAGGCCCCTATTTTGAAAAATCATAGAATTTTGCAGAAAAGGAAGACAATACAACGTCTTTAGACTTCTATCTCTTAGTGATACTGTGGTGAAAGTTTGGCCGCCGTGGGCCAAGATATTGCAGAGGAATGCATAACTTGTTGCCTTACACATTATTTCTCCCAAAACTCCACCTCTTACGCAGCTACAGGGCAGAGCGAAGTGAGTGAGGGTGAGGATGGCACGGAGGTGTGGTGCCATATCAGGCAGGATTCCTACCAGTTAGTAAGTCACATGTTACACATTTCTCACAACTTCCTGCTGTGCCATTTGAGAGCTGAGATGTACTTGTCCTTCCTACATATTAAGTAAACCTCATCTAAAGTATTTGTGGCCGACGCTCAAGTCTGGGCTGGAAAAGGCAAATTTAAAATGAAAAAAGAGGGCCCAGCGCGATAGTGTAGTGGCTAAAGTCCTCACCTTGAGCACACTGGGATCCCATATGGGCACTGGCTTGTGTCCACTTCCCATCCAGCTCCCTGCCTGTGGCCTGGGAAAGCAGTCGAGGACGGCCCAAAGCCTTGGGACCCTGCAAACGCGTGTGGGAGACCTGGAAGAGGCTCCTGGCTCCTGGCTTTGAGTTGGCTCAGGTCCAGCCATTGTCGCCGCTTGGGGAGTGAATCATCAAACAGAAGATCTTCCTCTGTCTCTCCTCCTCTCTGTATATCTGCGTTTCTGATAAAAATAAACAAATCTTTTTAAAAGAATTTTAAAAAGTTACATGAAAGTAAGTTGAAAACGCATAATGTAGCAATATTATTTTCAGATGATTTGCTGTATCTATGATTTCATGGTTGAGATAGAATGTTAGAAGCAACTAAGTTATTGGTGAAGTTGCAGCTTTAACTTAGGGACTTGGCAGTGGCTGGAAAACACAGGCAGTTCCTGCAGTGTTACCAGAAATAACTGTGGTGATAGCTTAGTGCTACATGTGTGTGTGTGTTTCTATTCTGGAGCTGGTGGTGTGGGACAGAAATACTTGATAATCTGTGCTATTAAGACAAAAACTTAGTGATGATGGTTCATTTAGTAATTACATGTTTTAAATGATCCTGAATACATAGGTATTTATGGAGCAGATGCTAGAACCTCACACCTGGCAATACTGATTTGTGTAACTATTTTTTTTTTTAAAGACTGCTTTATTTGAAGGCAGAGTTAGAGAGGGAGAGACAGAACTCTTCTGTTGCTGGGTTATTCCCCGATGTCCTCAGTGGTTGCGGATGGGCCAGGCCAGAGCCAGGAACCTGGAACTCCGTCCTGGTCTCCCATGTGGGTGGCAGGGGCCCATGTCCTTGATCCCCGTTAGGGACCTTTCCCAGGTGTGACAGCAGGAGCTGTGTGGGAAGTGGAGTAGCCCATTTTGGATGCTGACGTCATAGGCTATGGGTAGCCTGCTGTGACACAATGCCATCCCTCCCTGGTGTTCAGATTTGTTTTTCTCTTAACAGAGTAAGAAAGCATCAATGAGTTTATTCTCTCTAGCTGCTTTGTTTGATGGAGTAATAGCAACAGTTTGATGTTTTGCCCCCGCTAGAGGGAGTTGTGCAGCTAGTATTTGTATACAGTTGATATCAGTTGATTTAGTGGAATTTTCTCGTCCCCCTCTCCCCCGCTAACAAAATCAAGAAGTAAATGTTTGACTCCTCATGCTTTTTTGTTTGTTTCCGTGAGATTTTCCTTTAGCTGTTTCTACCACTAGGTCCAGATTATGCCTAGAGCAATTTCCCCCATACTTATAGGTGCTTTTCAGTGGCTGTCACAACTGGGGCAGCCACACTGAATGTTCTTTTTGCTAGTACGGAAGCTTGGTTACATACAAACAGGTGTAAGTGCATCTCTTCAGTGGCTGACTCCATGTGACCCAGAGGAGGAGAGGCAAGTGAGGATGGGGAGGTTCAAGCTCTGGGTCCTGCTCTGGGTCTTTCAGTTCTGCCTTCTCCTCACTGGCTGCCCCCATGCCTTCCCTGGGCTTTGGTGGGCTCACCTTGAAGTGCAGGGCTGGCTGGACAGGCACACACTGGTCCTTCTGGGCCAGAAATCCACTCATGTGTCATCTGCAGTGCAGCTGCGGCTTCTCTCCTGAATATTGCCATATTTCCTTGTATTGCCTTTTCTGATGCACAGCAGCCCAGGCCAGGGCTTACCTTTGGACACTAGGAAATGTGGCATGGATGATGAAATACAGGTGGTTGTGTTTTTTTTTTTTTTTTTTTTAATACTTGAGATAGTGTAATTTCTAAATTGGAGGGCTAGTTGCCAATTCATTTTGGTTCTTTCTCAATCTCCTATTGAGATTTTTCAAGTATGAGGGTCGTTCAAAACTTTTTATTTATGAGAGACACAGAGAAAGCAGGGGAGGAGAAAAAGAGAGTGAATTTGTGAGTTTTGTGTTCCCCTGGCAGCTGGCTCATCCCCTAACTGCTTGGCCTGAAGCCCAGCGCTAGACACGGAATCCAGGTCTCTGAGGGTGAGGAACCCCCTTGCTGAGCCACCACCAC